ATGCTCTGTGCTCTTGTCTACACTTAGGAGTGGGGTTGAGAGACTCGAGGGTGAGTTTGGGTTTAATTCTGGGAGACACTGCCACACAGTGGAATCCACAATTTTATCTGGTATTGTTGATGCGGCTGGTCTTGGACCACACTTTGAGAAATACTGTTTCTCTGAAAGCCCGATTTTGCAAACAAACATATGCCCTTCATCTCCCCTTTCCTCGGGGCACAAGGTGGGATGAGCTTGCTGACACTGAGACACCAGCTAGGTGATCTGGGGAACAGGTGAGAATGAGAAATTAAATGAATACCATCCCTGAGCATCACTTTGGGACAAATCTTTGCCATTTACTCTTTTGCCTGTTGGAAAGAAGCTGAGAACAGGGAAACTTTGATAAGTTGGGAAGGTGAGAAGCCAGGTCCCTGTGCCTCACCAGCCAAGCCCTCTCCCACCCCAACCATGAACCTGAATAGTGTCCATTCATCTGCCGGTAAAAAGGCATCTGCTGGGGACCTCGAGTTATCCCTGTGGGGAGCGACTGACTGTCTTCTGTCATCTTAAACGAGATCATTGCACAGGCGTTTCCTCAGTCCTGGCGGCCAGCCCCTGCTCTTAACAAAGGCATGGCTTGCAGGTGATGAAAGAGAAGGCGTTCCTCCTGCTGGGCTCAGTGGGTTTGACGACAAATACCAACCATCCTCTTCACGTGACTCTGGCTGTTTTAACATAGACCCAGGCAGCCCCTCCGAGGTCAGAAAGCCAGGAACCAAGGCATCCTGCTGGCAGAGTGTGGAAGGAGGGCCATCCTGGTGAGTTGACCATGCTTGGCTTCCTTGGTCCCTCCGCCTGTTCCTTCTCTCCGTTTTCCTTCCCTGTTCCCGTGTTTCCCGCGGGTTGGCTCTGTGATCGCAAGCTGCTCTCTGCTGTTCTTAGCACAGCACTCCAACCAGGGACTCAGGCACCAGAGCAGTAGGCTGGCTCCCGAAATGGGAAAAGGGCTTCCACGTGGAGTCGGTGAGAAAGGAACTAGGCTCTGTACATCCGGGATCTCATGAAGCCGGAAGAGGGAGTTGGAATCCTCCCCACCCCCATCCCAACTGGATCTGATGTCCTCCACCATCACCCTCCTGCCCTGAAATCCCTGGTCTAAACTCCCCTCCAACAAACTGTAAGTGCCGCGAAACAAGACAAACCACGTCTGTCTTACCTCACGGCTGTGTGTGTTACCTGGAACATAACAGACGACCAGTGATTATTTACTTGAATAAATGTGTGAGCAAATGATTGAGTGGACTTTGAATTAATGAATGAATGAAGTGAAGAAACCATGTGATTCGTATTCTTTTTAAGATCACAGAGTTGTAAAGCTCTTCTACGTAAGAACAACATCCTAGCTCTTTCAAAGTACAAAAGGGACTCTCTTGTCCGAATTGGCCATGTCTGGAGATATTTTTAGTTGTCACAACTGGGGCAGGGACGGCTACCGGCATCTGGTGTGTCGAGGCTAGGGCCACTGCCAAGCGTCCTGAAATGCACAGAATAGTTCACAGCAACAAGGACTTGCCCTGTCCCAGTGGTTAATGGTGCCGAGGCTGACGGTGCTGAGGAAGGGGTCTGTCCAAGGGCTGGCGCTGACATCGCTTGCTACAAATCTGCTCCAGTTAAAAGAGATTGAAAAACTGAGGTGGACAGGGACCACTTAGAGAAGATTTTACAAGTTATATCAGCATAATAAAATGTGAAATTACTGCTTTTAAAGATTATCTTACCCAGTGGTTGTCAAACTGCTTTCAGTACAACTATTTCTATAAATAAAACCTTACACAGAATCTCAATTTATGAAAGTGTTAAGCAGGATATTTATTAGTTAAAATAGTATGCTCTAAGCTCAAACATATAGTCAGTGTAGTTTAAAAGTGCAGTTTAAAAACACAAGTTAAACTCTAGATTGAGCACTGAAGCCTTATATCATGTTTATATCACATGTGGCTGAAGTTTTTTTTTTTTAATATTATTATGAAACTTGCTCTTCTAAAAAAAATTTGATTCTTTTTGTTGTTAGTGGAAGTACTGGGGATTGAACCCAGGACCTCATGCATGCTGAGCATGTGCCCCACCACTGAGCTATATACCCCTTACCCCTTGGGTGGAGTTTTATATTGGTCTCAGTAATTTCAGTAATCAAACGTTTCTTCATTTTGTTTTAATTGCAGAGTTTGAGAAAAACCTTGGTTCGTGCCAAAGAATTTTAATGTAATAGAGCACAAAAAGTTCATTGATGATGGTTTTGGATTCTACTTTGCAGTTAACCTTTAAGAAATTTCCACTTGTTGAGTTTTGGTGTCGTGTCAAAGATGAATAGCCACAATTCTCCAAAAACGCTTTTCAAATCCTTGCCCCCTTTCCAACTGTGTATCTGTGCGAGGCCACGTTTTCTTCAGATACTTCAACTAAAAGATGTATTTCATAGGTTGGGAAAACCAGACATTAAAGAGATTTTCCAAAATATAAAGCAATAGCAATATCATGCTTCCACTATTTTTTTTTAAGATTTTGGAAAATATATTTTTCTTAAAGGTGTGCTAGCTTATAATGGGTTTGTAATCGTTAACTTTCAATTATACATTAATAACCATGTTTTTCTTGGTCCTCAATTTCTAGTACAGTACATGTCGAGAGAGAGAATCCACATAAAGTAATCAAAAGCTCTTCGGGGTTTTTAGTAATTATCGAGTGTAAAGAGACCACAGGTCACTGCTCTGGTTTACATCACAAAGGGGCACCCGGGGCTCAGAGGTCCAGGCAGGTGACATGAAGCTCTAACACGTCCAGGGTCACACACACACTGGGCGCATTCATATAAGTCAGGACCCAAGACCCGCTTTCCAGCATAGGAATCACCTGGAGAAATATTTTCATGCCTGAGAGTATGTTGCTTTGGGGATCAACACAATTACGTTAGCCTGGCGGCCAGTTACGACGAGCACTAAACACGGAAATTGTTGTTTGCAGCAGGGACTCAATCCCAGCACATCCTCTTTCCTGCACATGGACGCACAGATGCGCTTTTCAAAAACTGATCAAACTGTTCAGATGCACGTTATCTACATGGTCATTTCAGGGCGGTGCTCTGATCAAAACTGACTTTGTTATATACGCCAAAGGGGGCCCATACGGGTCAACAGTCTTCTAGCTGAACTTCATCTTACCAACAAAGAGGAAGGCTTGGAGAGGCTGGTCCTTGCCCCGAGGTCACACGGTGGAGCGGCAGAGCTGGGATGGAATCTGAGATCCCTTAGTCCAGCTTTCTCCCCGCGTTGCCTCTCGAGGATCAGAACAAGTCTGTTCAGCCTGGAGCTGGCAGACCAGAAGGACAGGTGTGTGCTGCCCCCTCAAGGTGTTGGTCCTTGCCAGGCATTGCTGATGGATTTCAAATGGAGGAACAGTTCCAAGTCCAGCAAGGCCCTGAATCCTTAATCACCGTCCCAGACAATAGGAGCAGCAGGTCTGCAAGAGAAAATGACACCACCGGTGCACAAAGCTATCGCCCCTGCCTTGCGTGGAGTCCTGAGGGTACTAGGTCCCAGCTGGGTCACTCCTGCAGGCGCAGCTTCCTCCTCCTCGAACCAGGACTGTGACCTGGGACTTAGGCTGTGAACGCAGACCCTCAGAAAACTGTTAGCTCAGACGTGGCTTTTTACTTCCATGCTTGGCTTTCTGTTTTAAAGTCTGTGAGTACAAAGGCTCCTCCTTGAACTGAGTAGGGTCTTGGGTGTACCCAAGTTCTGCTGTAAAACGCCTGATTACGTGAGTGAAGGGACTGAGGGAGGGAGGGGAGGTGGCCCCGGGCAGGCTGGTGAGCACCCTCCTCTCCCCCCACCCCCATAGCCCTTCACCAGATGAAAGCCTTGTTTTAAATCCCGAGCCTGGCATCTTCTCTCATAGTTGTGGTCACTGTATACACATCATGCAGTGACTTACTCCTTAGTCATGTATTTTGAAAACTTTCCCACATGTGGACACATAATTCCATTAAAAAAAAACATACCAAGCATCAGACATATTTACACATCTTTTTGTTTGGCATTTGCCATGGTTAAAATTTTATGGTGGCTTTTCCCTTCTTCAATGCAGACTTTAAGTCAAGTGTACCAATATTTTCCTCCCCAACCATTTATGTCATTCTTAGAAACACATTTGTGTGACTATACAAGGACCCATGCTTTCCTTCCAGTACTCAAATTCCATTGTTTAAAATTCAAAACTTGAATCAACTTTTAGATCTTGGATCTGGTGTAAGGATAGACAAGCTATCCTACTTTTTTCAGATTGTTATCCACTTTTACCGTCTGAGTAGTAATTCCTGCATTATGTGAAAGGTACCTGACCCTGGAACAAATCAGTCCTGGACTTTGTGTCCTGCGGTGGCCCCAGCTTTAAATATTAGACTAACATTTCATTCTTTTCCTTTTTTAGCCTTTTTTTTTTTTAATACAAGAGCTGTAGAAGCAATATGAGAACAGAAGGGGGAGACTTTCCATTGGGACTGCAAATTTATGGACAACTTTATGATGTCTTTCTAGCCAAGAATAAGACAACCTTTCCATTATTAATTTGGATGCTTGGGAATTTTGTTTTTTTCAACATCAAAATGTGCGTTATTCCTTACTTTTGATGGCAGTACCAGAGGGGTCATGAGCTGCCACAGAACTTGAGAGTCAGGTGGGATCTAGACAGAGAAGTGGAGTGAGGTGGCCAAGGTCACACTGTGACTGGGCAGGAGGGAGGCGAGTGGGCTCCCAGAGTCTGCAGCTTCCAACGTCCCCCCTGTCCCACGTGTCCCCAACACGAAGTCAGCAACCCACAGTGAGGAGAAAAGATATTTAATTAGTTCTTGGTCTAATCTCTTAAAGCGCTCAAAGTGTTTTCACAAGTGCAAGGGGAGGGACAGCTCTCAGCCAACAATTTACCAGTGATTCCGACACACGCAAAGAAACTCCAAGTCACCGTGCTTTATACTTACTTTTAATTTCTGCACTGGAAAAGAAAAGGAAGGTGTAAATGAGGACAGGTTAGTTTACAGTGACTCCATCTTTGCCTTTAAATTAATCTTTGCTCTGGGAGGCAGAGGGGGAAAGAAAGACAGAAAGACATCAAAGCACAAGAGTCAAACAGTACCAAGAGGCCTCGTCTGGCTACCGAGGGATCCAAAAGCCTGGAGGCAGCGCCGTAAACACTGACAGGCATCAGGTAGAATACATTAAAAAAAAACAAACCCAAAACAGAACAAATCCCACAACTCCATTCTTAAAATCAAGCACAAAAACGGACAGTGAAATGCAGGTTGTGTGTGTCCCCCGGGCAGGAACCGAGCGCCATCTGCTCACAGCGCCGGCCCTGCGCCCCCTTCCCGCAGGCGCGGACACCAGAAGGGACCGGCAGGCGGGGAGCGGGATGAGTCTGTGTGCTTTGGAGGCTCTGCCTCTGGAATGTTCTGCGCGGCTGAGCAGGGCGGTGGGTTTGAGTCACGCGCTACACGTTGTTGAAGTGCTCACTTTATTTTCCATGTGCAAACTGTCACCGTCTAAAGCTTTCAGAAGGACGTGTACAGACAGGGTCGCCCTGCGGGCCGCGGGCGCTCAGGAGGCGGGGCCCTCCCTCCCGGGGGCGGGGCCGGGGCGGTCACAAGGCGAGGCCCCGCCCTCCTGGGGGCGGGGCGGGGGCGGACAGAGAGAGAGAGGCGTC